TACAAGTTGTTGCTCTGTGTGAGGTTTGACTATTGCTAACTTGCAATAAACTCACTGACAGCTGGTTTTGATTTTCTTCAGGGTTTTCTTTGTGCTATTATTATGAGTTTTTGTTTGTTTGTTTGGTTTGGTTTGGTTCTCGTTTTTGTTGGTTTTGGGTTTTTTGTTTTTGTTTTTTAATGGATAACAAATGGAAAAGGAGGATGCCATTTATATGACACATTGTACTATAAGGACTTTTACCAGAATATTGAGACATACAGCCTGACGAAAGAACATGCCTGGAAATCCAGCCATTTCCCAGTCAGATAATACTGTGTATTCAGCTGAATTGTTACTGTAATGCTTGCAAACTGCTGTGTCTTACCAAAGATCAAGTGGACAAAAACAGAAGAGGGAAAAGTATTGAACAGGACTGCAATGCAAAAATAGAGCAAATAGCACATAAATCATAGGTATTTTAGAAATTAAATATGACAAATAAAAGGAAAAGGGGACTTAACAAATATCAAATCCAACAAAAGTGCACCAGAAGAGAAACAGAAAGAAAGATTTAAAAGCAGTGAGCTGGTTTTGCATTTCAAAACAAAAGGTAAGGCTGGATAAGGGGAAACGAAAAAAGTTTGGGAAAGATGTGGGAAAATGACAAAGGAAGGAGGAAACTGCCTTGGCAGGGAAGATGGACACAATAATGTGAGTATATGGAATAAAAAAGTCAGCTGCCATAAAGCATCCACTGCCCATAGCCAAAAGCAGCAAACCAGCATGGCTGGACTACAGCACATGAGTGGTTTTTTTGGGTCACAGCAGGAAACACCACACACTGTATTTTGTTAGGCTGCTGCACTGTTTTGCATACATGGAGGAGAGAGGGGATTGTAGATATGAAAAGGCAAGGCAAGTTGTTTCGTTTGTTTATATTAAAAATAAATAGCTTTGAAAATATGACTGAGTCAGTGAAGAGTATGAAACAAAATCCTCAATTTCTTATGATTTAGCCAGTAAGAAGTAGAGAGAGGTAAAATCCATGCAACAAATGCACACAATAGCTTTCAAAATTCCCCTCAGTCCACAGAAATGCTTTCAAGAGATCATGCCACTATTGTTCTAAGAAGACCAGCTTGCTTCAAAGTCCAGCAAAAATAAGCAGGTCTTCATAAAAGAAACAACTGCCCCTGCCCAAGACCAGGCATAGCACGCATCTTGGGAACAAACACTCCATAGCATGATGCCAAAGGAGTTCACTGGTAGAAAACCTCTGGCAGTGCATCATGTCAGTAAATGAAACCATATCACACTTAGGAGTTGCAAAGCTCTGTCAGCTCCCCCCTCCCCGGCCTTAAACTTTGCGCTGGTTTAAGAACATAATTCTCAAGTTATTTCTTCTAGTATCACTGTAGCTTTACCTAATCTCAAAATGTTACTCTGTCTGACCTCCAAGTGGCAGAGCTGTGATAATCTCAGGATATAAGCGAGGATATAAACTCATAGAGAGAGATAATATCTTTTATTAGTCTAACCGGCAGAGCTGAAGAAATTTGCCAAGTGTGGACAGAGCCTCCATTCATTAGAAGCAGATACAGTGATTTCCAGCTTTCTGTGCTGCTGGAATGCTGAGACTGCAGTTTATATGGGTCACAGGCAAGCAAGCCAGCTCAAGAATCACACCCAACTTAGCTAATTCCTTGTGGAGCCTTTGCAGCCAAGGTTCAAATAGCTAGATTGCTGCAAATCCTAGGCTGAGTAGGTTAAGGCTAAACTGTGTGCTGTGTATTCTGTGAATGGAGACTGGAGCACTTTTGTCACAGGAGAACAGCAACAGCCTTATGCAGTCTAGCCCACAGACCCACTGGAGCTGCAGGCTGGTGATGTCTGGGGTGGAGGGGCCTTGGTCCTGGCCCACCTGTCAGCAGGACCAAATCACGATTGGTCCAGGGGGTCACTATAGCAGGGCTGTTTCTCTGAACTCATTCATCTACTTCGTTTCATTTCTTCATTTCATTTGCACATCTTTCAAAACCTCTGTGAATGTACTTGTCTCATTTCACAACACCTAATGTTTGGTAATAGGATGAGGCTGGAAGCTCAGGTTGCAGTGATCTCTTTCCCCAGAGAATAAGGGTTGTGGAGGCCCTCTAACAGTTACCTCTTACAATAAAATCATGAAGAAATTGGAACTTACTAGATGAATAAAAAGCTACATAAACTTTTTATTAATAGAAGACTTTGAAAAACTCCAGAGCTAGTTTTTGAGCCAAGACTAAGAGAAATTAGCAACATTTTTGCTTAGTTTTCTTATAGGTATTTTTGACTTTGAGATGGCAATAGTATGAATGCTAGGTGTTTTGTTTTCTTTATAGTTTCTTTATAGAAATCCATAGACCTTCATCCTTTCAGCATCCTTTGTTGCAAATGTATATGTACAAACCTACACATTTTTATACATACAAAGTAAAACATATGTCAAGAATAAACAAATGATATTACACAAATAAAAGTCCTGAGAGACTTTTGACACTAAAGGTTTCTCTCTGTCCTTTGAAGTACTATCTTTAAGGTGCAAATTGCTACCTTTTTTCTGTATCTTTAAACTAAAAGGTGCAGGCAGGCTTTAAGGTATGGCTCCCTAGAACTGCCTCTGGTACTTGTAGGAAAATGACTTCCTGCAGGCACACAAATTATGTAGATGAAATCATATCTCTAATATATTAAGTTGATGATAGACTCAGGCCAGGATCTTCTCACTATGAGCACATAAAAAGGTATGAAGAATTTTCCACAAAGAGCACTTGAGCAGTGATCATACCTGTGAAAGGAGGAAATGAAAGTGCTCAGTGTTACCAAGCTTCAGCTTGAAAAGACTGAATCCTCTGTTTAAGCTCCATTACATTAATAAATTACTAAATTGTCCTCAGACTATGGGAAGCAACCTGCAGCTTACAGTAGCTAAGTCTCACTGACATAATAGCAATAGATTGGAAGCAAAAGAGGGGCACACTGTATTCAGAATGATGTGATCACTTAAATTTTCTTTTATAAAAACTCAGCTCTACAGTGGTCAGCCTAAGGAGCAGATGTGTTGGTCATGACTCATTCTCAATATGAAACTAAGAGCACCTTCCAGATTATGAGCTCATGAAGGTGGTTTTGACACTATAAAGCCTTATCCTGGCTCATGGAGCTTGCTGTGTAGTAAGTACATGCAGCTTGTAGGCATTTGGCTGTTGATTACTTTTACCGCCATAATGGTGACAGGGTCAGCTACAGTCACTCAGAGAAACTTGTAGCTGTAACTTTGGAAATCCTGGCCTTTGGGGACTATCTGGATGAGCAAATTTTTAAATCAAAAATAGAATTAAGTACAACCCACCACAAACACACATATATATGTATATATATAACCCCAGGACAGACAATGTTGTTATGATTTCTTTTCTAATAGCTTACTTATTTTATCGTTGCTAGCACTGTAACTCTACCTATGTTACTTTAATTAAAGCTAACACTGCAACAATAACTGTGAGCATGCCTCCTCCGTTTTAATATTCTTGTTAATACCTGGGGTTTGAGATTAATAATGTAAACTGTTTGCTGGAACATGGTCATAAATTATAAATTGCAAACCATGCTCAATTTTAAGACCAAAGAACTATGGAGGGTAAAATATACAGTTTTAGCTTCATATAACTCTGAGTTCCTATTTTAAACATGAGAATATGATCTCAATTCCCTCACCACTCCACCATCAAATGAGGTAGATATGTGCTTGTATCAACACCTCATCCTTCAGAGAGTGACACATCACCATTTGCATTGTTTTGGAAAAAAAAAAAAAAATTTGCCTCTTACGATAAGAAGCCTTTCCTACCTTTTAAGTGAATTTCAGGAACAGAATCCTGCCATTGTCACTGAGGGTCACAGAGTTCACAAATGAGGCCAATTCTTCCCTTGAAAAGGTTTTCAGAACAACATATTGAAGAGTGACCAACCCAAGACCTAACCAAAACAACTGTGGTCCTTCTTTTTTCCTGTCTTATCATCCCTCTTCTTTCTTTCTTGACATTTAAATGAACTATCAGATATTCCCTAATTCCCAGTCTGTAGTTTTAGTGGTAGCATTCAGAAGCATCTTGTGTGTAGTTTAATTTAAACAAGATTAATTACTTGATAATTTGAATAGATTTTAGTGTCCTTACAATAGACATTTGGTGCCATACCTATCATTAATTGAGTTTTCTCTACATGAAATTTTCAGTTGGTTTATTCCTAGGAATGGCTGTGTTTAAAAATCTGTAATCCATGCCAGTTTTGATCTCCCAAAACTCACACGAACACTTTAATGTGCAAATGTGGCTTTATTGATGAACATAAATACAGAACAGAAAAAGTGACCTCCACTCAAAAGGAGGTTATTCACAATATGCCCCAGTCTGTATCATTCTATTTTGTTTAATTATTAATCAGATCCAGCTGCGAAATTGCTCATCTTGTTTCCAGGTACAAGCACGTACATGTGCTTCTTCTGTCCACTGTGTTTCTCAGCCTAAGATACCCCAGAAAGTCAATTCCATTGCATTGTCCTCTTCAGTTGCATAGGAACAGGAAGAACACATTGAAATAAAAAAACCCAAACCTTAAAACAAGTCTTGTAAACTAGCTGCTAACTGACGGTGCCTGGTTTTGTGCTAAGTAAAAAAAAAAAAGGCAAAATACCCTTACTAAATGTCTCTTACTAGTAAAGCATAGCATAGCATGCTTGGAAAGAAGTCCTGGTGTTTGTGGTCACCCTTCTGGAGCAGACACAAGGCTTTATGATTAGATGCATTTGCTTTAATTCACCATGGTGGCATCACGGCTGTCACTTTAAGCAGTTGCTCCAAACACTGTCTAGAATTGTCAGTTATTTGGCGCCTGGAAATGGTTAAAACTCCACCCAGGACTTCCCTCCCTTGTTGACCTCACCGGTTACTAAGTCTCTGCGGTGGGATTCTGTAGCTGACAGAAAATTCAAGACCACTATTCTCACCGTGCTCCCCACTTTTTAAGATGAATTTGTGCTAGAAGAACCCTTAACAAACAGGTGAGATTTCAAGTGGTCAAGATGCTGTTGTCCTGATGTCTGCCATAATAAAAACATATTTTTTACCTTCAGGAAGCACGGTTAAAAAAAAATGGCATATGTTAGGTATATAAAATTAAAAGAAAATTTTAAAAAGGTGCCAAAACCAAAGAGGTTTTGGAACAGTGTTATTTATAACACCCAGACATACACCCAGAAGTGGTACAAACAGTGTTACAAAGTATTACAGAAAACCAGTATGGATCTAGGGGAATCAATAACTGATTACCAAATCTAGAAGTGTTGTCTTGACATGCTTTAAAAGGATCAAGTCTTTCTCAAGTAAAGACCATGGTATAAGCAAACCAGCACACTGAGTGAAAGTCTGTAGACGGCAGGAGTTCTGGTAGGTGAGTGTCACTACTCAGGAAGCCTTGGTGTATCTGTGAGATAACATTCTTAGGTGATTCAAATGGTAAAGCTTTGAAATTTCAATGACAAAATCCACTAGGATGACTTAGATATAACAGCACAAAAAGAAAAAGAAATTCAGTGAAAGCCACCTTTTCTTAACCAGACAATCCTGCTTCACATTCTTTTCTCATGCTTAGCCAAAGATCCCACCTTGCCACCACATCTATGCTCACCTGCATCCTCCCTCTCCCACCATCACAAAAAACACCACTCTTCCCTTCCAGTCCATTCACTACTCTCCCTCATAAATGCCAGTATTCATGACAGATGACCATTGCTCTCCCTTGCCTTCTTGTTGTCTGCTGTCTGTTCTGCTACCACATGGGCTACCTGGCCAGAACCTCTCTCCCCACAGCAATCCTTCTCATTCGTGCTCCTTCAAGAGGAGTAACTGGAGTCATGGAAACGATTTGGCCTTTCAGAAACTGAGGTGCTTTGGTGCCTGTGAGGATTAATTTTGTCTGCCCTCTCAAAACAAATGAAAGGAAGCCAAAATGATCAGGAATGAATAAGAAAATAAGCAAGAGCTCTTGCTCAGACAAACTGCTGAAATATCTCCAGCATTAACAGCAGTAGGGTTTCATAGGGTAAAAGATTGAATTAAAAGTGTTTCCAAAATCCTAAATTGTTGAAGTTTAGTTTAGGTGTGCTTATAATCCTATGAGATACATGAAACAAGGAGCTGGCTCCAGAGGAACCCATTTGCAGCTATTAGCCAAGCTGATGCACACTAGCTGGCCCACTGAGTCAGCGTCACGCAAGGTGTCAGTTTGTGCTCTTTCAATCCTTCCTTCTCCAAGGCCAGTCACTAGCTCAGTGTAATACCCTTTTTGGATATGAAGGATTGGAAAAACCCAGAATGGCTTTATTGACTGTCAGGGCTGAAAGTGAAATGCTTTCTTTTCAGATTTCAACATGCTACACACCTGACTCCAAAGACGCCTGACAATCTATGTTCTTTTAATTGGCAAAAGAAATGTCTTAATATTGGCTTTGAAGATGTACAACTGGAATCGTTGTGTTTTAAATGCTGTGGGATTAGCTGTTACTGTTATCACTAACAGTAAAACACACAGACAAAAGTATCCCCTTTCACCTCTCAGAAGTACATTTTGGAGAGCAGATGGGAGCAGAGAGGTCAGGAATGGTGGGGAAAAGGCAATAGTAGACCCAGCAGCCTCAGAGGGCTGCCTCTGAAGTATTTTTGCCTCATCACAAAAGGTTGATTTAACTGAGACCCTCTCGGTAATTGTGAAGTCTGCCTTACTACTGAACATGCACAAGAGGAGGCTTGAAACGGCCAAATATGTCTCTTATCCAGCACATATCATGCCAGAAAGGTCAGTTAGCTTGTGCAGTCACCTCCAAAAAGGGGGGATATCCTAAAGGGAAAAAAAAGTGTGAACTTCTATTGCCTCTACAAAGCAAACTGTTTTCCCCCACCGCTCCACCCCTTTTTTTGGGGGGGGGTGGAAACAATTGACCTTTCAGCCCCCTTTGTTCAGGAAGATGTTTTTCTGGCTCACTTCTGTCTTCTGCCTCCGTTTGACACACAATAAAAAACTGAAAACAGGTTATGAATAAGTATCTTTTGAAGGGTTGTGCAGATTACAGGAAGAGGCACTTAATTGTTGGCAGGTGAAAAACCTGGCTGTGGGTGATCCAGTCCTGATGACAATGAAGAGGTGTACAGGGGGATAGCTGTTTTGCTCTGTTACACATTTCTGTAGGCTGTTTCTTTAAAGATAAATAATTAAAGTTTAAACTGAAATAAGTCCAATTAATATTTCTTCATGTCAGAAGGATTTTGGTATTCCACAACTATGGCCTATGTTGCTTTTATCTCATATAAATTAACCACATGCAATTGTTTCTTTACAGTAAGCTGTATGTATATATCCACATCTCATAATTCCTACCAGCTCACTTGGTATGATCTAAACAAAAAAACAAACTCTGTGTAACCAAATCTTCTTCTTTAAATGGAAATATTTCTCCTTTCTGCCCTTAATGGGTTTATTTTCTAAACAAGGCTTTATTGGTGCAAAACACCTTAAAACACATGTGGTGAATTCTTACTGGGAGAAGTATGTCACTCTCCATGTTTAAGCCCAAACTTAAAAATACTTTAAGACTCTCAAAGAATGCACAGTGATTTAATTGATTCCAGCCACATTAACAGTCACAAAAATCTGTGGTGCTTTACTAGGGGAGTAATGGGTTGTGAATAATTTATTTTTTATTCCTCACTCACAGGTGATGGGGATTAACCTGGCTATTTTTAATGAGTTTTAGATTATTTTAGAGTGCTGAATAATATCCTGTTTGAAGGCAGCTATTATATGTCAACAAGCCAATGTTTGTGCAGTAGGTCATTCAGAAGTGAGAGGAAATTCTGACCACATACTCAGAGTTCAAGTGCTGAATACTTTATGAACTTTGCCTGTAATAAAGGGAAAAAACTCAAAGTGCTTTTCTTCATCCCAATTCTTTCCTCTCCTAATCCCCCTTTCTTCCCTGCCTTGAACACCCTGGTGTCACACTGGTGCTCCTCTCTGGAAACACATGAATATGTGTATCATCCCATTCTAGTAGGTGCTGCGGAACTTGTGGCTCTGAAGCAATCCTACGTAAAATTAAACACTGTTATCACTAAATAAATGTCAGTGCCTTACAGTTACAGCTACAAAATTGCTCACTAATGACCAGGTGTGGCTGATAGCAGAAGCAGCTCTCCTTGCTTATAGAAGAACACTGCTTCCACATCACAGGTGGACCCATGCCATGGAGCTGATGCAACCAAGTGTGCCTCCAGTATAGCATTTAGCAAGGTAAGCACATGAAACAGAGCACATGTTCTCAGAGGTTCTCAGAGGAACAGTTCTCAGAGGTCTAAATACTCATGAAAACAATTTTCCTGGTGTTTTTCACAGCTAGTGCTCCTCATCATCCTGCTTAGCTCTTGTTAGGAATGAGTGTTTCTAAGCTTGCCTCATTTCTGAGGGTTGCTGAATGTCAAATCAGTTACTTGAATAGCGAGGAATGGGACAAGTTTCTACAGTGTTTGCTGGGCCCAGTGACATTAGTAATCTAAACCATGTGTCCCCCAGTTGCTAAAAGAAAGACTCTAGAAGGGTCTCTGCAGAGCTTTTGTGGCCTAGAGCAGCTCAGATCTCCCTTCAACCCGGTGCTGTCATTAACATTAGGTTTGGTTTTGCTTTTAGTATGTATTAAGACCATTCAGATATGGACTATTTCACCTCATTACTACAGAGGTAGGAATGAGTAAGGAATATTGTACATGTTACTCTTGTAGGGAACAGTTATTGAATGTAATTCTTCTTATTGTGTGTAAAAGCAAGTAGAAAAGCAGTGAGCCAGCTTCTCTTAGCCTAGCTAATTGTGTCTGGAGAAGGGCAATAATGCTGCTTCACTCAGACAGATTTTCTTACAAAGAAATACTGTTCAGACACAAATTTCCTTTTAGGCCACCATAAAGTGACAAGATAGTTGATAGAGTCTGATTCCCCTGAAATGGTGTATTCCTAGACAACCTTGAACTTCTCCAGGCTTACCTAGCTCATACATGAGGTGAGGCAACTATGCCTGAGGAACGACGCAGTTTCACAGTGACCTTGATAAAAATATTTGCTTCCATTTTCTGAGCATTGGGTTGATACCTGTGCAAAGGGAGAACGTAAGGCCTGTCATCTTCCTCACCACACAGATTCACACAAGGGATTGGGAGTGGAGAGACAGGATTTGACTAAGCATGAGCCACATGTTGACTCAACATGCACTACGATGTGTGTGTTCCCAAAAGGCACAAGGGAACATGATAACTTGCTGTGAGAAATGGCCCCTGGAGCCCAGCCAGCCACCACACTGCTGCTTGCTGACACCTGCCTTTAGTGGCTCAATCCAGATTGCAGGTGATGAGTGCTGAGAAGAACATGTATATTAGAGTAAGGAGTGCCACTGAGTGAGTGGGAGCTCATTTTGAACAGGACAGCAGTGGAAGCTGTGCTGTTTTGAACGGCACACAGCAAACTATTACAAGCAAAAATCATCCCTTTGCTGACTGATTTGGCATAAAGTATTGACACACACACACGAGCACTCATTGAAACAGTGGCAGATGCAAGACTTTCTGTCCCTTATCCTACTGATTGCAGACCACTGCCCCCATGCCCTGAACATGGAGAGTACTTAAGCACCCCTGGGGAGCAATGAAAAGGTAGTTTCAAAAATATCAGCTTGTCTGAAGAAGTCTTTATGTGCCAAAAAGTCTGGTGGTTTTTCTCAAATGTTTTAAATGTTTCAGTGCTCTAAAATGAATGCTGGAATATGTGCATTTGTATCTGGCTATTATATATATTTACACGTACACATTTATCCTATCCTTAAAAAAACCTGTCTGTGAGTGTAGCAGTGGTAAATTAGTTCAAAAAGAACCAGTTACTTTTCATAGGTTATTAAATGTACTGTAAACTATTAAGTTTTAAATAGGCACTAAACTAATTAGAGACTATTTGTAGGATGACACAACATTTTTGAAAGACTTTTTGTCCTTGAAGGCAGATCAGAGCCTGCTAAAGGCTACCAAATGGAGTAAATCAGAAATACTCTATAGCCATATGCAAATGAAAATCATATGGGAACATTCCAGGTATTGCCATGACAGAAATAAAAGACATATTTAGAACACTTCCCCACGTGCACTGAAAAGAAAAACCTTATCAAAACACAAAGCAAAACAAAAATAAATGTTGTGCAGCAGCCCATCCCTTCAAGCTTGGAATTTGAACTACCTCATCATTCCACAGGGGAGATGGTGATTTTGCTAACAGACACGGTTGCAAATAATGCCAATGGCAGAGGAAAGAAGACATATTTCATTCTGAGGAGGGAAAGACAAACACACACACCCCCTCCTCTGCCTGCCCCCTTCCCTGGCAGAGGTCCAGGTCAGCTGTCTCAGTGAACAACAACAGCACTCCTGGTCTTCAGAAACCTCTGGAAGGAAACCAGAGCCATACGTGTACGTCTCGGCTCTTTCCCTTTTTGTGATATAAGCCTGTTTATGTATTAAATACCTGACTGGTTTCTTGGATTTTGCTTATCCTTTCTTGTATTTTTTATGCTTCTCTGACCCCAGCTGACTGAGATACAGAGGGAAGGGTAAAGTGGAACAATAATGCCCCACCGCCTCCAAGAGCAAAATCTTAGTAAAAGAAATCCACTCATGTCATTTTCGTTCATGGCAAGCAAGGTCTTTTTAACCCTGGCTGCACATGACTGAAAATCACCCTTAGCACCAAGAAACTAGTGAAAACAATTTACTGGCTTATCGATAGCACTCCAAAAAAACTTCCCCTGAGAACTTCGCAGTAGTCCTTACCAAGCCCTGGGGAACCACACCCAGAAAATGAGCTTGTTTGTCAGCTGTGCTGAGTGCTTTGGAGTGGATTTCAAAACAAAGCAAGGACAACTCAAAACAACTGCTCCACACAGACTATTCCTCAACCTGAAAATCAGCCTCACAGAGTCACTACTACGTCAGAGCTTGCGTTTGTACTGGTCACATCAGTTCCTGTGGCTGCTGATACTCTCAGAGATTACAACAAGTGAAGAGGAATAATCCATTACCTTTATCACAACAGTCTTAATCATGACAGACAGAAGGGCTCTAAACATAGTACATGATTTATTTGCGGTGCTTTCTAATTTAGCCACTGAGACAAATTAGTTACTACTGAGACTGAATATTAAGGATATCTTACTGTGTTATGTCAGTCTAGAGAAAGCAATTTTAATTTCTGGAAGGTAAGGTTTTGGGAAAAAAATAGCAGGGACAATTATGTCTCTGTTGACTACTTTGCTATTTTTCCAGACATAAGAGACTTGTTAATGCATGATCACATCAGGGACGCCTGCTGCCTCAAACCACTGTATTCTTACCTATCCAGATAGAAAAACCCAGGAGCTATTCACATACAAACACCTGACTAATAACTAGTATAACTAATGATTTGCAAGGTTGTTGCGGACTTTTTTGTCCTCCACTGTTTATATGGAGAAATGGCACTTTCTGAGAGAGAGAGAGCAGACTGTACGTATAGGTTCAGAACACGTGTCACTGAGGCAAAACATTTTGCTTGACTTTTCCTTCAGGGAGTGATTCTTTCTGTCCTAAAATCCCAAAGGTAAGCCCCTCTGCTAATTTTTTCTTGAAACCAGGTGTGGCAATATTTAAAGTCTGTATTTTTCATGTACATATACATGTGTATATATGCTGTATATACATAATATATATATGTACTTAAACAAACAGATGTTGCTGCATCTGAAAATTTTAGTCAAAGTCTTTCTCAAAGGTGACTTTAAACTAAGACTAAATACCAAATGATGGTTGAATATTGACACATCACATGTTGGTAAACCCCTAAAGTGCTTTCAGCAATTTTTTCAGCTGACCTACCTGCTTCAGTAGGTCTTTATCAGATCTCAGCAGGTATAATTTAATATGATATAAATGATTTAAAATTATAGTAATCTTTAAATGTCTGTAAATGTGTGGTAAATAAGAACTACATGTGTTACTACATCAATAGGCTACTCTGCTGTAAAATGTCTTATAACTGTCTTTCAAGGAATAAAATTTAAAAAAATGGGGAGGGGAGAGGAGATGAAGGGAGGGGAGGGGAGGGAAGCCTACTTCTTCAGGCCTAGTGAGAAGTGGGAATACGCTGAGGAAAAGGGCAATCAGACACTCAATAGCAAATAGCAGTTACATTAGTGACTTTTGTGGTTGATATAAATTATTCTCTCTTCTATTTTTTTATTTCCAGCTTCATTTTAAAAACAATTTCTATACTTTTGCATTTTCTATCGCATATTAAAATATAATTCAGTATTTTGGAAAGTTGTGAAACTCTGAGACTGAAGTTGACCTTTAGACTCTAAAGTAACTACATCTTGCTTTTGAGAGGTCATTGAAAACACTTAGCAGAGCGGGTTACATTTGCCTTGGAAATCATTACCATAAAGCATAAAATTAAATTTATTTTATATAATATATAAATAATATAATATATAAATAATATAAAAAGGGTGAAGGAGGCAGACAATATTTCTGATTGCCGACAGTTTCATTTGACTTCGTTTGAACTTCCATTCTCCATAAGATACCACCATCTAATGAGGAAACACGTGGAATCAGTGCAAGCCAACAGACCGCCACTGCTTTCCTTGGAGATACAAAAGTTTAAGATGGGTCACCAGAATTGTACAGCAAAGTTGGAGAGTGACTTACCAGTTCAAGTCACTCTTTTGTATTAGAGGAAGGCAATCTCTGTCCAACTAAAATTAAGCCTCTCCTACTGTACAATTTTATGGAAAGTATTTTTCTTCATTTCACCTCACAGAAGTGAAGTTTATAACCCAGAATTCAATATTTAATACTGGTCATATAATTTGTCTGCTGTAAAGCTGTTAATGGTAGCAGGATGATCTAATCCTTTAGATCTTGCAAACTTTACCTTTTATGACATGCTGTTAGCACTGAATTCTGCAGAATTATTTCCTTTCATTTATTTTAAGGATATTCCAAATGTTGTTGCTTGTGACTATAGCTTTCATTTTCTGGGAACCTAAAGCAAGTATTGCTCATTGCTCTTTTTGCCTGCTTGAAGCAGGCTGAACAGATGTCATTAACCATTCTTAGATCTCTGATTCCTTGTTTGAGTTCATTGCCATCTCTGGAAAAACTAGGTTTTTCTTCCTATTGTATATGAGTCTGTATGCATGCAGTTAAATTTTATCTACAGTTTTGTGCACTGAAGTGAATAAATGAAGTAAGAATGAAATAAGTCTTTCTAAATTTCATGTGCTTCTCTAGATTTTCAAAACATGGATAATGATACATAATGTCCACATCTTCAACTCACCTTTAAAGTCACCAAAAAATCATACAATCCCTGCAAATATATTTGCATGCCATTGTTAGGCAACCTACATTTTGAAAACCAGCCAGGACTTAAAATATTTGATGCCTAGCCAGCATTTAATGTGGAACAAAAAATTACCTGTCTAGCATAAGAAAAAGGGAATTTTATGTTAGAGCATTATCAAAACTTCCTAAAACCCTGGATGACATATGTCAGATTTTTCTTCCCAAAATTTTAAATAAAGTCTTCAAATAACTTCAAAGACCAGCAGAGGACTTTCAGTAGAAATTGTGTTGTTGGTCAGATGATGTAATTCTGTTTTTCTAAGTATATGTTTCCGTTCTGACTGGCCTGAAATGCTTCCCCTCTATGCAGGTCATTGCGCATTCACCTGCAAATTCCAAGGTCACTCTTCATTGCATTTTGAAAGTGATGCTCCCTGGTGACACCTTTACAGCAACCAGGAAGAATTCCTATTTTAAGGAATATGTTGCATGTGTTTGTCAGAAACTTTCCAGTTTTGGAGCTGAGATCCCTCACAGCTTGAGATGAACACCATCTGGCCCTGGCAGTTCACTAGAATTAAGATTCCCAAATTGTTCCTTGAATTCCTCCCTTGAGGTTTCTCCCCTTCTTAACAACATGCTGAGGACTAAGGTCTCCCTTGGGCAAAATTTCCTTGGGATGAAAATTTCAACAACACACATCTTTAGCCTAGTTTAACTGCTTCAGGCAATTAGCTTTTCTTCAATCTTGTCATCTGTCTTTAAACTTCCTTTTTCCATTGATGTCTCTCTACCTAGGGGTCCAATGTGCCTCAGACATACATTAATACTTCTTGTGTGGTAGCAGTGGCCATCTCTTTACCTTTTCTGTAATTGAGGATAAAAGTCTTTACTTATGAGCTCAAAAGTTAGAGTGGAATTTTTCATCATCCTTGGACAGAGGAGCTATTTTGCAACTGGAAAAACACAGGTACACAAAAGCTTGTACAGATACGCAAAATCGAAGAGCCTAAAAGGACTTAAAAGGGTCATTGTTGTCAGCTGATTTAACTCGCAGCACAAACTGGGCTGCTTTCTGCTGCCTGATTTTATTTCTGAATGCATGTTTTGGTTGGGATAACAAAGTCCAGAAAACTGCCCCACAGTATGCTCCCTTTTAGCCCACAGACTTTGCACCCTAAAACAAGGGGTGGCTTATAGCAATGTAAGCAGTATTATAGAACAGAAATATGCCTGATGTACACAGCAAAATAAAAATTAAAAGGCCAGAAAGAACAAAAATTAAAAGAAGGAGAATCTGAAGAGAGACAGCATTTCAAAGTGAAAAATGTGGTTGACTTGTGGATGCATATAAAAAAATCCTTATGGTTAAAGGAGAAAAAGTGTTGGTGACCAGATCAGAAGGAAAGGAACTCGTGTGTTGGAGGTTAATTGAAGAAGAGTTAGGGTTTAGGTTAGGGTTGGGGGTTAGGGCTAGGGCATGTGTAGTAGGTTAGAAGGGCAGAAACATGCTTTGGCCAGATAAGTCAGACTGAATGATAACCAGCAATAAGCAGTGGTTAAACACCTCCATACAAAATACACTACTTCTTCTTCAAAGATGAGGAAACCCTCATGAGAAACTTTAGAGGACGCTTTGTTCTAGGAGAAGGAAATTTGAAGTACTATGGTTTATCTCTTTTCAGGGATATAAGAATGAATACTCATAAGCTCCAGCTGGTCCTACTGGGCTCCCAAGTTTTGGAACACTGCAGATGTGGGAACTTGTGAGCAAGACTTGCTGTCTGGGGGGGAATCTGTCTTCTTCCTTCTCTTGGATATCATTTCATGGATCAGATCAATTTTCTTTAATGACAAGAAGCCTGCTGCCAAACCCAGATGCTCCCATAAATGACCTGATTAGACTTGGATGTGACGAAGTTGGATTCTACTGGCCTCTGTCTTTGCGGACTTCCTGAGTACTGGTCTTCTAGTCCTGGAGGAGTCCCTGGGTTGCTGAAGATATGGGGGTGCCTCTGTCTGCCCTTTCACATTTAAGAACTCCACCACACTTACTCTTTTTCATCCTTTTCCCTTCAGTGCAGTGACTCATACACAGTATTCACGAAATGATTTTCA